AACCCTTACCCCCCAAGCACATGTATTGTTTGTTATGAAAATACTTATGTAATTAAAGTAAAATGCATCTAAATACAAGTTTATTTTCCAACACTTTATTGAGTGTGAACATGCATTACACACATTCTCCACATTTTCAGCAGGTCTATGAATACAAATATACAAATGTAGTAACCTAGCATGGGGCATGCTATTATATGTCGTCTCACAACCATCGTAAACGACAAAAAATATCAAGAACAAAAACAAAAAAAAAATCTCCTTATTACAATACATGAACATATTGATTTACTGTCCCCACCCCCTCCCCCTAAAAATACATTCCATCATTACAACTTATTTTGCATATTTTTTTTATATATATATATGTACACATTGCATTTATTGTACTGCGCCCCACCCAAAAAAACTCCCTCATTACAATCTTTTTTTAATTGTTTTGCAGTTTTTGTTTTTATCTATACAGATTGCATTTACTGCCCCCCAACTCCACCCCCTCCCCCTAAAAAAATCTCCTTATTACAATACATGAACATATTGATTTACTGCCCCCACCCCCCCCCTAAAAATACATTTCCACCATTACAACTTATTTTGCAGATTTTTTGTTATATACACAATTAACACATTGCATTTACTGCCCACTCCTCCTAAAACTATAATTTACTTTACAGTCAATATTAAAAAAAAATACTTACACTTCTCTGAATATTTTCTCTGAAGATACCGGCAGCTGCTCTGTCAGGATGCTCGGCTAGGAGAAAGGGTGTGAGGGTGTTCCCGGCGTCCTTCAGGTGGAGGCTATGCGCATGTGCTGTTACCGGCCGTGACTCATTTCATGACGTCACGGTACGCGCTTGCGTTCAGGCGCAGGGGAGGTCAGAAGGAGGAGCCACCGAGCCAGTCCGTCCTACACTATGCGGCAATGCCGGCCGCATAGTGAAGGATCGGAATTCTGTAGCCACGGCCGGCGGGGCTCAAGAGAGGCCCTTAGGAAGAACTGGGCCGGGGCAGCTGCCTTTAGCCCTGCGTTAAAGACGGCCCAGCGGCCGTTTTTAACATGCTTTAGGGCGGCCTGGGGGGCAATTGCCTCCCTGCCCCCCGGCCCAGCCCGCCCCTGCCTGGCATCCCCCCCCCCTCCACAGTGGGCGGCGACCCGGCGGCTCGGATCGGATTCGCACAGCCAGCACTGCAGAGAGAGTGAGTGAGCCAGGCAGGGGCAGAGAGCTGCGAGTGCGAGCGCGCCCCCCCAGATGTTGCGCCCGGTGCGGCCGGCCCCCCCTGCACCCCCCACGCTACGCCTCTGCTTTATGGTGATTTGGTAGACAGTGAGCTTCTTCAATCAATTGCATGAATTGCCCAGAGACCCTGAAACTGGTAGGGTTACCTAGCATGCCTTGCTGGCCAGGACAAGTATTTTACTAGCATTATCAAAGCCAATCATATGGGCAACTTGCTCATGCATGTATCCTGGTCTGGGTTGTGTAGCACACTTTATATTTTAAAGGTCATAAATAAGGAATGAAAGAACTCATTTAGACACTTGATGATACATACATGTCCTTTATTTTGCAAGGAATTCAGACTTTGCCTAGGTCATTTTCTATGTTTGCATATACAAATCTCTAATATTCATAAAAAAAATATTTGATACAATATCTTGATATTACTATCCAATGAGAAACTGAAATGAAAAGAGAAGATAATTGGCACACTCTAAATCCTCTCGCCGATCCATTTGTAGAAAAATGATCAAGCAGTTTGAAACAAACAGCCCATATTCACAGCAAATTTCTTTTCTGATCAATGTGTTGTTTTATTGCAGATGGAAAACTTAAAAAAAACATCATTAGGGATTAATAGATTTAGCTGATGCATGGCCGTTTCATTTTCTGTGTGTAACTCGTGTACTGGGTTATTGCACAGACTACTTTTAGACTAAGTCAATAAAACACATTCACTTTAGCAAATTACTTGTTACTAACGGTATATTAATTCGATCAACAATCATTTTTTATTTTATGTATGTAATTAATTGACTTTAGAGTGTAGTTATTGCCTGTAGAGCTCCATTTGAAATAATTCAGTCAGGGCCAATTTCCTGCAATACTCACTTACTAGAGACCTGCACATTTTTTTAGGGTTCTTGTGAGACACATATTGACTGTAGTAAAAATAAGCCCTGCCAACAATGAACCGTTTTTTTCTCTCTTAAATGCATATCCTATTCACAGTTAATTCTAAGGATAGGATCTGGTCCCAGAGAGTGTCTTATATTAAGATGTAGCCAGACTCCTTGAAGTTTATCTGTTAGCTGGATTTTGAATTAATTCCCTCATGTTAAAAAAAACACCCCCATGTTTAAAAACAATATACTGGTTTTTCACATTCTGAGTGTTCTTTTAACTCTAACAATGCCAGGTGTGTCCCCTTCTTCCCTCCTCCCCCCCAACTAAATATATTATTAATAATAATAATAATAATAATAATACGTTTATTTTTCATCCAGCAGCAAGTCCCCTGTTGCTGCTCTGTTCCACTGAGGAAGACTGTGCTGACAAATTGGAGTATTCCTGTGCTGTGGAATTAAACCTTTTTTTCATGGAGGCTGTGTAATACTCAGCCAAGGGATCTGTAACTATGACTACATTAACAAAGTAGTTCAACTCCTAAATGGTAGAAAATTAAGCAATGAAACTGCAAGGGCATGATCTATTCACCAAAAACATTTCATTAAACGAATGTTGTTTTGGTGCTTAGAGTGTCCTTTTAACATACCTCCCAACATTTTAAATAGACAATCAGGGACACTGATTTTATTGGTGTGAGTGAGGGTGTGGCCAAGGGTGGGGCTGTTCTGTGAAATTTTTGGTAACTTACAATTTATTCAATTGCAATGTACTTGAATAAGAATTTATGCAACTACAATGAAATCAAGAGCAAGAAAAATTTACCTTAATTACTCAGAATGATTTATTTAATCAGAATGAATTAGTCTAAAACACATAAGGGGTTATTTCCTATGGTCCTATGTCCCATGAACATTTCCCAACACTCCCAACACCACAAGCAACTGACTCTACCCCCCTATCCATTAGCTCGCAAATGAGTAAGTAATTTGACAATAGGCTGGAGGGAAAAGGCCAACTATGGCCATGTTTTTTCACGGCATCAGGGCATCAAAACCGTTCAATGGAACGGCCATAGTAGCAATATATAAAATAAGTAGGGTGGCATTGCTGAGGGACTAACTAGACTCCACAGTCTACAAGAGGCTGCAACCTTATCCTGCAGTGAAGCATCCACAGCATCCATCAAAGCAGAGGCAAAAGGACGGCATGGGATAGCTTCAAAATGGCTATCCTACCAAGGAACTGTAGCTGGGCATCTCAAACCAGCCACTACCAGTGAGGGGAAAAAACCCTCACCGCCATCACTCCTGTCCACCATCTCTGTTGACAAGCCTCAAGCAGCACCCTGCCGCCACAATAAATGCACTACCTTGATGCCCCCGAACACCAAATTGACCGGGTTAACCTGGGCCAAAAACACGGCCACAAAAAGATGCAAACCAGCAAAGATGAGGTGGACTCAATCAGACCTAAACAACTCAGCCCTATCAGCTGTAGTGCCCAGATGACAAATGACACAGCTGCGCATCTCAGCTACCACCTGCCAGGGCCGGCGGGTCCATCAGGCAGCACAAGCAGCCACCTTAGGGGACCCTAGATTAGAGTGACTGGCAGGAGTTGGGCGCTCTGGACTCCCTCCTGCCAGTCACTCTGCTCAACGGAGCAGTGCGCACCGCGGTACAGGAACCTCGGCCGGACTGAACGTAAGTGGTACAGGAAACTGAAGCTCCTGTATCGCGGTCTGCTCCGCTCGGCCACGCTACAAGAAAGGTAGGAGACACACCAGGGAACAAGAGGGGAGAAAGAGGGACACTAAGGGACGGGGGGAAGAAAACTATGGGACAGGGGAGGGGGGAGAGAACATTATGTGACAGTGGGAAGGAAAGTACACTATGGCACAGGGGAGGTGGGAAAGAACACTATGGGACAGGGGAGTGGGGTGAGAGCACTATGGGACAGGGGAGAGATGGAAAAATACTATTGGACAGGGGAGAGGGACAGGGGAGACGGGGAAGAACACTATGGGACAGGGGAGGAGGGGAAGAACACTATGGGACAGGGGAGTGGGGGAAAGAACACTATGTGGGGGGGAAGAACACAATGGGACAGGGGATGGGGAGAACACTATGAGACAGGGGAGGGGTGGGAATAACACTAAAAAATAGGAAGGGTAGAGGAACACTGGAGGAGAGAGAGAGGAACATTAAGGGGAGGGTGCTAAGCTACAGGGGAGGGAAGGGAAAAGGAACACTGGGGTAGGGGGGAACCACTTAAATAGAAGGGAGAGGAACACTAAGGGGGGGAAATTAAGGGGAATGGGGGGGCACTAAGAGACAGGTAATGGGGGACAGGAACACTAATGGACATGGAGGGGAGGAGAGAGGAACACTAAGGGACATGGAAGGGAGAGTGGCACACAGATGGGCCTGAGTGGGAAAAAAGTTCAGATGGGAGGTGTAAGACACACAATGAGGAAAAATAGGGGATAAGATACACACTAAAGGGAGTAAGACATTTAAAAAAGGGGTAGGAAACAAAAGGGGGGTTAAGAGGCACGCAATTGAAGATGCTCTGGTGGGGGGGAGGGGGGACACCAAAATAATCTTTGCCTGTGTACCCAAAAATCTTTGCACCGGCCCTGTCGCCTGTCCAACCAGCCTGTTAACTTTTTTGCGGGTCCTGTAAGTAATGCCCAACGAAGAAAAAACATTCCATCTCAGCCTAAGCAACATATTGGAACACCCAAACTTTACAGTGCATATATTGTATAGATTAGAGGTTGTTTTCGTATGGTTTAACTGCTTTCCTTAGTGTAGTTATATTTAATTTAAAAATTATTTATTTAATTTTTTTTCTCACTCTCTCAGGATGCGCTCCACCAACATTTACTACATATACTGCACACCCAGCAACCAGGAGGCTAACCAGCAAAGATCAGAGCAGATGATCCTTGCCAGATTCAGGATAGGAAGAGGGCCTCCTAAACTCAAAATCATACTCCTTCCAGGCCCCATCCCAAAAGTAATGATAAATATAATCCGCTGTCTCCATATATTTGTGAAATTAGACAGCTTGCTCTGGGCACTTCTCCAGCAAACACAAAGCCAGCACCCTAATGCTAACCTGCCATTCCTCAAAGGTTCTGGCCACTTGGGACACGTTGAGCTAGCCCCTTAATCGAACCTTTCTTGAAGCCTTTGAGCCTCAGCAGAAAGGTCAAAGATATGTATGTATTTTAAATCCCAAATCTTACCCTTGATCTTGAACTGCAGACGCGCGTGCGAAGAGTATACCATAAAGGGATACGAGTCCCACTGGATAGCTGCAATGTATTATGATCAAGTGAAGATAAAGACAGAGGAACCGGGGCAGCAGTAGCACCAGCTTATTCATCTGTGTGGATGACAGCAACATCTTAATCATGTGAAACCTTTATTTATTTATTTTTTGACAATCTTTATTTTCTGGATTTTCATTATTGTTGACAAGACAGTCTTGTACATTTTGAAATAGTGAAATAGAAGCATTTTACATACAGTTATTAAATGAACCAGTAGCTTAACATATCCACTTCCTATACGTAAGCCCTCACTCCTATATCTCCATGTGTGTTGGCTGGAGGTGCCTCAGCGCTGTTGTACCAGGGGGATAGGGGTAGGTATTGGGTGAATTTGGTGAGGTTACTGACTCCAGGGGAAGAAGAGAAGGGAGAGTGAAGTAGGAGATAAAGAGAGAAGCAGACAAAAAAAAAGGGATGTGGGGGGGGGGAAGCAAGTTGTAGTTCTATCATTTACTGCCACCACTGCATGCTATGTCCCGGTCAACAACATCGGGTCTGTCGTCAGAGCTTGTGAGTGTCACCTCTCTAGTGTTGTAGTATGCTCCCTCACAGTGTCTTTTTGGGGCTGTCGTCTTTCCCATTGTGTTGCCGGGGGATTATGTCCTGATGTCAGTGAGTGTCTAGGTCTGCATCCCCTCCCTATGGGTGAAGTCGGTTCAGGGATACCATTTCAGGGCACATTTGCATGTGAAACATTTTGTGACCTTAGAAGACAAACCCAGGGAACTTTTATTCTCTGACCAAGTGTCATTGTATGAAAGCGACAAAGTAGACTGCCCCAGTATAGGAAGTACAGACTCAAACTGCTGTTGAAGACTGCTGAGCACCAGTTCTCAACTGAGAAGAGACCTCCGGTGTCCGCTCTAGATCCGAATCCTGCAGAGCACTAGCTTCATACTGGGAAGATCCCTATGTCAGTTGAGGAGAGGATGAAGGTTTAGATGCCACAGGCAACTGGAATGCTATACTTTGCCCTAATAACATCACTGTGTTCCCGCCAACAGAGGGTTGATCCAAATTACTCAGCACCTCCTGCACTAAAGAACACAAAATGGCAGCACAGAGGACAGTGGACCAGTTGGATCAGCGTGTACAGAAACAGGACCAGAAGTGGAAACAGTAGGGGTAGAGGAGGAAGCAGGACTAGGATTACCAACAGCTGAAACAGAAGCATTGGCATGTTCCCCCCAGCATTATCCCTGACTGCATAAGACCCCTGTGCTATGGGCCCTCCCCTTACCACATGCGACCATACAGAAAGAGAAATGTGTGTGTCACTTTGTGCATCAACAAAGGGGTGCAGTGGGCATCCTACAGTTGATATGCTATCCAGGCCTTGTTTAAATCCCCTGTGCCACAGAATATCCTACAGTCCTATCCATAGATCCCCCTACACCAAAACAATGGCAATGGCAATTTCAAGACATCCCCAGTAACAGCATCGCTCTCAACAACATTATGCCCCAATATCCCATTAGCCTGTGAAGTCCTGGCAAATTGCAGGCAAGAGCACTGGCTCAGCCACCCCCTGCACCCCTCCAGATGTTCCAACCTACCTCTAGGGAGCCTGGAGGAATGCAGGGGAGCATCATTAGTAGCCACCGAATGGAAACTGAGGAAGGTCCTGGAGAAACCTGCATGGCCCCATGGGCCTCCACCACAGAGGGGGGAGAGAAAAAGGCCAAAGTACACGACCCAGGATGAGTGCTGAAAGGCAATTCAAGGGGTCTGAGAGAGTAATAAAGCAGAGGCATGAGCATAGAGCAGGAGAGAATGTAAAAGGGAATCAGTGGGGAGTACCGATTGGAAAAAAAGAAACCCACTGCTGTATGCCTGCAGTGGAGGGTGTAACAGGAGAAATGTTGACAGAAGGAGGTAATAGTAAACAAACAGAGGTGACATAAGGGATAGCAGAAGAAACATTAATATTAACAGAAGCAAAAGGCAGGGTAGAAACATAAAAGGTTCATACATGAGAGACAGGACAAGAGTAGTAGATATAGTGACAGAAGAAGTTTTGGGAGGTGGAGTAGTTGAAGAGCACTCCTGAATGCTCACCTCTGCCTCTTCAATCATAGGATGACAAGAAGCAGCAAGAAAGAAGAACGCAGGAACCAAAGAGGGAGAACAGATAGTGGAGCATGTTGCAGTTCACTCCTAGCCAAGGAAAAGCCCCCTTACTTTTGCTTCGGACCCACTATGGGTCCATGCACTCTCATTGCTGTGAATATTATTGCTTTGGAGCTCTATTGTACACTCAGACACACCAACAATATGGAGCTCCAAAAAAAAAAAAGGAAATTAGCATAGAAAAGTAGGACTGTACCTCCTAAATAGAGGCACTTAGGATGCATCTTTTATCTAATTATCACATATGACTGGTGGGATAAATTCCTTTTGTTACAAGAATGTCTGTTAACTACAACTCTCTTAATACATCACAGTGCCTTGGGTCAAACTCAGATTAACTGATAATTCAGTTTAAAATACACTGCTGCATGTTCATTTATTGAAAAGTAGCACAAAATAAAACAAATAAATCCACACTGTCTGGAAACTAAGTAATGCTAAACTAATTGTCAGGCCGCTTGTTTACTTACCAACAAATAAATAAAATTCTGACATTACTGGCAAATGTTTAAATATCTGCAGGCACAAAGCATACCTTGTTTGCTAGAGTATGTTACAAAAACAATCTATCTTTTTCTTCTTTTTGAAACAGAAAGATTTTTTCTAAATGTAGTTGGAAAATAGACCTATAAATGGTAGTAGGTTAGCTTCTAGATCTAGACCAGGGGTAGTCAACCTGGTCCCTACCACCCACTAGTGGGCAGTTTAGGGTTTCAGGTGGGCACACACACACACAGACTGCCCCCTCACATTCATACAGACTGCCCCCTCACACACACAGACTGCCCCCTCACACAGACTGCCCCCCTCACACAGACTACCCCTCCTCATACACAAACACACAGCACCCTTCACACACAGAGCACCTCACAGACACATATAGAAAAAAAGTACAATAGTAAATAGAAAAAAGGGGGGGGGGAAATATATACATTTAAAGGAGCACTATAGGGTCAGGAACACAAACATGTATTCCGGACCCTTTAGGGTTAAAACCACCATCTAACCACCCTGGTCCCCTCATGCCTCCCTAAATATAGTGAAATCTTACTTGTATTCAAGTCTGGAGCTGCTTAATTTGTCCCTGTTTCCTTTAGACCTGCCCACTGCCTGCTGACATCAGCAGAAGTGGTAGCCTGATATAATCACAATGCTTCCCCATAGGATTGGCTGAGACTGACAAAGAGGCAGATCAGGGGCAGAGCCAGCACAATTCAAACACAGTCCGATGTCTCCTTGGATCAAGCAGCTATTACCCCACTAATTAGAAATTATATCCCTGTATGTAACCTTTCATCATAACTAAAATGCTCCATTCCTTTTATCAATTTTGTAGCTCGTCTCTGGACCCTCTCCAGTGCCATGATATCCTTGATATCCTTCTTTAGAACAGGCGCCCAAAATTGCACAGCATATTCAAGGTGTGGTCTTACCAGCGATTTATAAAGAGGCAGAATTATATTTTCATCCTGAGAATTTATGCCCCTATTTATACATGACAAAATCTTACTGGCCTTAGCAACTGCAGATTGACATTGCATAATGCTGCCTAATTTGTTGTCTATAACAATTCCCAAATCCTTCTCGTGTGTGGTTATCCCTAATTCACTACCATTTAGTGTGTAAGTTGCTTGTGCATTCTTAACCCCGAAGTGCATAACCTTGCATTTCTCTATGTTAAATTTCATCTGCCATTTTAGTGCCCAGTCCCCCAATCTATCCAAATCTCTCTGCAGCAAAGCAATATCCTGCTCACATTTTATTACTTTACAAAGTTTTGTGTCATCTGCAAACACTGATACATGGCTTTCAATGCCTATTTCAAGATCATTTATAAATATGTTAAATAGAAGTGGTCCCAAAACAGAACCCTGAGGGACACCACTTACCACTTTTGTCCAGCCTGAAAATTTACCATTAATTACAACTCGTTGTACTCTATCCTTAAGCCAATGTTCTACCAAGAACAAGAATATTCATCTAGACCAACTGGTTGTCGAGTGCATGGAACTAAAACCGGACACTCGACGGTGCGAATACCTCTGGGACTTCCACCTCCACCTAAGTTCAATAAAGTTATGCACGAACAGATCAATTCGGCAAATTTACACATTATTTAACTGTGAAGATAGACTGGCCGCACAACCTAATTCTCTTGAACTATTTTGGGCATGAAATCATGTGTGCGGTCGGTCAAAATGACTTCCAAGTAATTTGTGAACCCCTGCTCTGAACAGGGTGATTTTTGGATATGTTGCTCACCCAGATCAGAGCTATCCAGGGATGTGCCATTTATGGGGATATGTCTTGTTTTTGGGGTACTTCTGGAATTTTGTGAAATGTGTGCTTTTCCTGCCTGGAGATAATTGAGTTATTACATTATCTACCAGGCAGAGGGGAGGGCTTGTACATACTGTATGGGAGTGTCTCTATGTATAACCCTGTTTCATTGGTCTGTTAACTTTGTGTCTCGGTGTGCCACCATTAAACTTCAGTTATTTTCCCAAAACTGAGTGTCGTCCAGTTACTGGGGAGGTGTTGGGAGAATCTT